ATCTATCTATCTATCTATCTATCTATCTATCTATCTATCTATCTATCTATCTATCTATCTATCTATCTATCTATCTATCTATCTATCTATCTATCTATCTATCTATCTATCTATCTATCTATCTATCTATCTATCTATCTATCTATCTATCTATCTATCTATCTATCTATCTATCTATCTATCTATCTATCTATCTATCTATCTATCTATCTATCTATCTATCTATCTATCTATCTATCTATCTATCTATCTATCTATCTATCTATCTATCTATCTATCTATCTATCTATCTATCTATCTATCTATCTATCTATCTATCTATCTATCTATCTATCTATCTATCTTCTATCTATCTATCTATCTATCTATCTATCTATCTATCTATCTATCTATCTATCTATCTATCTATCTATCTATCTATCTATCTATCTATCTATCTATCTATCTATCTATCTATCTATCTATCTATCTATCTATCTATCTATCTATCTATCTATCTATCTATCTATCTATCTATCTATCTATCTATCTATCTATCTATCTATCTATCTATCTATCTATCTATCTATCTATCTATCTATCTATCTATCTATCTATCTATCTATCTATCTATCTATCTATCTATCTATCTATCTATCTATCTATCTATCTATCTATCTATCTATCTATCTATCTATCTATCTATCTATCTATCTATCTATCTATCTATCTATCTATCTATCTATCTATCTATCTATCTATCTATCTATCTATCTATCTATCTATCTATCTATCTATCTATCTATCTATCTATCTATCTATCTATCTATCTATCTATCTATCTATCTAGCTTCTATCTATCTATCTATCTATCTATCTATCTATCTATCTATCTATCTATCTATCTATCTATCTATCTATCTATCTATCTATCTATCTATCTATCTATCTATCTATCTATCTATCTATCTATCTATCTATCTATCTATCTATCTATCTATCTATCTATCTATCTATCTATCTATCTATCTATCTATCTATCTATCTATCTATCTATCTATCTATCTATCTATCTATCTATCTATCTTCTATCTATCTATCTATCTATCTATCTATCTATCTATCTATCTATCTATCTATCTATCTATCTATCTATCTATCTATCTATCTATCTATCTATCTATCTATCTATCTATCTATCTATCTATCTATCTATCTATCTATCTATCTATCTATCTATCTATCTATCTATCTATCTATCTATCTATCTATCTATCTATCTATCTATCTATCTATCTATCTATCTATCTATCTATCTATCTATCTATCTATCTATCTATCTATCTATCTATCTATCTATCTATCTATCTATCTATCTATCTATCTATCTATCTATCTATCTATCTATCTATCTATCTATCTATCTATCTATCTATCTATCTATCTATATCTATCTATCTATCTATCTATCTATCTATCTATCTATCTATCTATCTATCTATCTATCTATCTATCTATCTATCTATCTATCTATCTATCTATCTATCTATCTATCTATCTATCTATCTATCTATCTATCTATCTATCTATCTATCTATCTATCTATCTATCTATCTATCTATCTATCTATCTATCTATCTATCTATCTACTCTATCTATCTATCTATCTATCTATCTATCTATCTATCTATCTATCTATCTATCTATCTATCTATCTATCTATCTATCTATCTATCTATCTATCTATCTATCTATCTATCTATCTATCTATCTATCTATCTATCTATCTATCTATCTATCTATCTATCTATCTATCTATCTATCTATCTATCTATCTATCTCTATCTATCTATCTATCTATCTATCTATCTATCTATCTATCTATCTATCTATTCTATCTATCTATCTATCTATCTATCTATCTATCTATCTATCTATCTATCTATCTATCTATCTATCTATCTATCTATCTATCTATCTATCTATCTATCTATCTATCTATCTATCTATCTATCTATCTATCTATCTATCTATCTATCTATCTATCTATCTATCTATCTATCTATCTATCTATCTATCTATCTATCTATCTATCTATCTATCTATCTATCTATCTATCTATCTATCTATCTATCTATCTATCTATCTATCTATCTATCTATCTATCTATCTATCTATCTATCTATCTATCTATCTATCTATCTATCTATCTATCTATCTATCTATCTATCTATCTATCTATCTATCTATCTATCTATCTATCTATCTATCTATCTATCTATCTATCTATCTATCTATCTATCTATCTATCTATCTATCTATCTATCTATCTATCTATCTATCTATCTATCTATCTATCTATCTATCTATCTATCTATCTATCTATCTATCTATCTATCTATCTATCTATCTATCTATCTATCTATCTATCTATCTATCTATCTATCTATCTATCTATCTATCTATCTATCTATCTATCTATCTATCTATCTATCTATCTATCTATCTATCTATCTATCTA